AAGTGATGATATAGAGTTCTGGTCTGCAGGTGAATTTTTCTGTGCATAGCTTTGTGCTTTTTTTTTTTGTGTGTGTGTGCTAGAAACCAGCAAAATGCCATTAGAACAGCTCTGTGGTAATATGCCAGCATATGCGATCCCTAAACAAATAACACATTTATACTCTTCTGCCTGCGTTTTTGCGCAGCCACTGTCCTTTGCCGCTGACATTCAAATAACCTTTCTTCTGCTGCATAAATGGGAATAAAAAAGTATTGTGTTGTGCGACTTCACATGACAGCGGCGCCCTGGCAGATGAAAAGAGGCAGGATTGTGATTCCTAGCTCTTGTTAGGCTGTCGTCTCTCTACAGCTAGATCTGACTGCCATGGGTATCTGTTTAGAGAAGACTCTGTTTATCAACCGACAGCTGATCTCCGGCACCAAATGGGGAGTTCATGTAGCAAAAAAAAAAAAAATGCATAGCAGCATATGATGATGGAGGAACATTTTGTCATGCACATTTGCCAGTTCATGCTCCCCCCCTTGCTATTTGTGTGTTGTGACCTTGTGCAAACGTTGCTGTTGTCTTTTTCAGGAAAATCTACTTTTTGTTTAACAGTCCCAACATCCGACCTATGAGGCTTTTTAAGCTTTTGTTTGGTTGTTATTGCAAAAATATCTCCAAAGGGAGCATGTATTAACACGGTTTGTCTGATGAAGAGGAAATCGTTAATCTGTTCATAATGCTGCGCCCTGTCCAGTTCCTTACATAATCTCTGACATGATCCCGCTGGCTTGCGTCACTCCATCATTGACAGCTGTCAACACGGCACAACGGACGCACACTGGTACACACTCGAACACCGTCATGCACAGATAACGGCAAATGTGTTTGTTTGTTTTTTTCGCTCCAAATGCGTCACATGTGTTGAACAGTTAAAGAAGCCTTGATTTCAAACCCTCATTTATTCGCACATCTATCCATGAATCATCAGGCCATGAGAAAATGATTTAATGGTCCAATCAAGTAATGGGTTAAGCTTTTCTGCATTATGACGGTCGCCTGGGCATGGGTCTGTAATGTAAGGGATAAACATAATCCTTCAACGTTATGTCAGTAGTCCAAGGGTTCAGTGGGAACAGCCAGGAGATTTGGACGAGTGATTTTCCATGTTTGCACAAGCCTGTGTGATTTTTTTTTAGTTGCGTTTAAGTTTCTTGTGCATGCTTAATCAAACATTTGAGCAATGTAATCCTTAAAAAAAGTATGAGATCATTTAAAGAATGATTGCTGGACACTTAATAAAATCTGCAATGTTTGCAGAAGAAGTTGCAGCTAGCAGATCCTGCTAAGTGAAAGCTTGTATTTTCACAATTTTGTGTGGGGAATGACACTTTACATAATTTAATGGAGCAATGCAATATCTGCAGTGCATATGGAGGAAGTGTTCTGTCTTACAGTGTCTGTCTATATGATGCTAACAGTGAAATAAAGTGTGACAGGGCTGCTGTAAGCTCTTAGTGAGCATTTGGCGCATTGTTCCAGTTGTTCACGTTAGACTGTCACTTTCCTGGGCCTGGATAGCATAGTGTAGCCTTAGCAATGGGTGGATCTTGGGGCTGTGGAGAAGACAGTGAAGGGCACTGGGTGAACATGCAGAGGCCTTGCTGCCCTATTGTACATGTGCTCTGAGTGACACGTCATCCCCTCAAAGGGCCTGCTAGTGTGGTGAATCAGTGTCCTTGAACCGCTCAACCGCAGACAGACAAAGAGCAAGCTTTAGCATTCGCTGTCTCCCCTCGCTGCCATGCCCATTGTCCAAGACGCCCACGCCAGGCTGTAGCGTCGCAAACAGGAAATCAGTCTTTTAGCGTCACTGACCGGCTCTTCTGGTTCTGCGCGCGGCGGTGTGATTGGGCTGCAGTGTGATTCACACGTAATCCCGCCGCCTCAGCAGGTGTCTTTGAAGTGGCCTACGTGAAGAGGCCATCTCGCAGTGCTGTGAGGAGCGGCAGGCTGGCTGGGATGGGCTTTAGCATGGCTGCCGGTCTAACTGTGCCTGGCTTTGATGTCGTAAACAGAGCAGGCAGGGCTGGCTGGCAGGGAAGCGGGCAGGCAGGCGGGCAGACAGACAGGCATGGGGGGAGGCGCGGTGAATGGGATCAGTGGCACTGCGCTGGTCGGGCTCAAGCGAGCCAGCAGCTGCCTGTTTCACACCAAGAAGCAGTTAACACCGCAGCTCATGTCAATAGATATTGACTGCCAGATTGGGAGTGCTCATAAGCACAGGCCTTTTTGTTTAACTCGCTCCCCTGTGTGATTTCACTTTAGATCATCCTCAGTGTCTCAAGTGTAGCTTAGCGGGCAGATGACCAGTCACTCAAGAGAACAAGTTGCACTCTCATACAGATACACAAATATTGACCCTAGCTGATGATGTTGGTGACTTCATGGTGTATTCCATTGCAGTTGTGTCATTGCTCTGTATAATTCTCTTTCACTCCCCTCTCCACATCGTTTTGAAAGCAGCTTATCCCAGTGTGGAAATAACTATATGTTCAGACTGAGGTCTTTTCTCTCACAGGAACCAAAGAGCCTGCCTCAGCCGGCACAGAGACAAACCCTTTTTACTGCTGAGTGCACTGAGCATCCAGAGGCTTGTGCAGCGGTGTAGGGAGAGGGGTGTTAGCTGGTGAGACTGTGTGCACTCAGGGCCTTCCTGCTGCAGATAGGGCTTTGTGAGGCATGCTTGTGTATGCGTACGCCTGCCCGGCCTGGCACCCCCGCGTCTCTGCTCCCACTGCTTTCACCTGATGTGGCACAGCCTCTGTCAGGCCTGAGCGAGCGCCCAGCCAGCTCCGTTTCTTCAGGAGGGATGAAGGCATCTCACAGCTATGCTGTGGGGGTGGGGAAGCTAGCAGCAGCCTAAGCCTGAAGCTATCAGAGGCTGGAGCTCTGAGCCAAAAGCCTGTGGGCTGGATGGGGTGGGTGGAAGCTTGGCTTAACTTAGCAAGACAACCATAGCCACAGCCCTGCACTGCCACCCAATGGCCGGGGCCTTTCACTGCAACCTTGAGTTCACAATAACCACAGCTAGTCATAATTACAGCACGCTTCAGTTGTTGTGAGTGCATGTCAGAACAAATTATGTAAGTAATGAGGCTGAAAATGCTAAAGGAGTTGAAACACACTGCACTGCTAATGCTCATGCAGGGAGAACACAAAAACAAACAATAGAGTGCACTCATACAGAGATAGACCTAACTGAAAAACAAGCGACTGTGCACAGTAAGGAAAAGATTAATTATAAATTAACCCTCTCAGTTAGGTTGTCACAGTCCGCCTCCTGCGTGGATTTCACTCTAATCCGGGCCAACGAGGTGCAGTGCCCTCTATTGTATGTGCGAATCACAAATCGCGGGAGGTGTTGTCTGGAGGAGAATTAACTGTGCATGTTCTACCACTCCCTTTTGTTCATTTTACTAAAATGTAGGCTAATTCCATGTAAACACGGCCGGTCTTGTTGACTCCAGCAGCGCGAGGAGAACAGACACAGATTCCTGAATGAATAGAGTGTGGCTCCGGGGTTAGTGGATTAGAGGCTCTGTGTTAAGGGCCTCTCTCGGGCATGCCTCAGGGACAAGGACATTATCCACATGACACATTACAAGCTCTGAGGCAGATGATTAAAATGGGAAGGGATCTCTGGATTGAACCCGGGCAAGAGAACTTTTGATGTGATCAAACTAGTTTAAAGAGGTTGGATGTTAAGGTTTAAGAGGGACATTTGAAGCTCTACATTTTGGGTAGAGGCATTACAGCAGACAGTCAGGCCTAGCTGGAGGCGAGAGGCTGATGTAACACTTTGACATAGTGAATATATCACCTCCTTTTGAAAATTATTATTTTAATTTTTATTGCATCTTATTAAGGCAAGATTATTATATTCCTCTCCTAATTGGCACAGACGTGTGTTGCAATAGCTCGATGTGCTCTGATTGGCTGGCTGCTTTGCTGGTTGAGAGAAAAAAAAAAAAAGCATTACATCGTGAGAAAATATCCCGCGGTGATCTTTCCTCGATTTAGATCAGATAGCGGAGCTCGTCTGGCGCTGCACTGCACTGCTGGGATAGAGGGACTGAGATGTTGGAGATGAGGAGGAAGGCTGTGAGATAAAGATCTCTAGAGGGAAAAGGAGAGAGAGAGAGGAGGACAGAGAGAGAGCGGGGGGGGGGCATCAGTGGCTGCAGTGATAAAGCAGAGAGCAGAGGGACGAGCTGGGAGTTCTACATCTCTGATGTCTGTGTGTTCTGTCTGTTCGTTTGCGTCGCCCTGTGGTCTGCTCCTGAAGAGAAGGCCTACGATGGATGAGGCCTGTCCTCTCTGGGCTTTTGTCCTCAACGGCGGCGGAATCGCACGCCTGTCAACAGCACAACACCACAGCCAGACACCCACTGTACACTTTTTTTTTCCATAGACAGACACACAACCACACATTCCTACAAGCATCGGCCATGTTTTCATTCTATGTGGCCTTTAAGATTGACTCCTTTAAGGGTTTTGAAGTTCAAGTGGCTTCATGAAGTCAAGTTTTCCAGCAGAGAATATGTGTAATGGTGCAGCTAAATAAGCCTTTGTCATCACATAAGGGCCAGAATTACTCCTAAGGAAGTAGATCAAGGTTTGTGGGTAGGTGGCATTAGCTTATGTAAGTTGTGTTTGGGGTACAAATTGACACCATGTTTACTTTAGTTGCTTATGAGGACTTAAAATGGCCTCCCTGCCTTCACACGAAGACACACACACTCCTCTGTAAATATTCAGCTAATGCTCTCTGTGGAAGTGAGGATTCAAAAAAGCACCGGATGAGATGTTTTTAGCAGCACAGTGCTCTTTCATGTTCCAACATGGATCCATGGTGAGGCTGTTGTACGGTGACTTGTGACAGCAAAAAAAATGATGTTTTGCTTTTTGCTTTTTCTCATTTCTTTCATTCCCCTTTTTTTCCTTGTCTCCAGCTCAAATCGAAATAATTCCCTGCAAGATCTGTGGAGACAAATCATCAGGCATCCATTACGGCGTGATAACATGTGAAGGCTGTAAGGTAAGCACCAAGAGACTCTGTATGTGTGTGTGTGTGTTCAGTGTGTGTGTGTGCGTGTGTGTGTGTGTGTTCAGTGTGTGTGTGTGTGTGTGTGTGTCTGTGTGTGTGTGACGGACAGGAGAGCTGCTTGAATGGGAAAGACAGGGAAAATTGAGATCATAAAGAAGTTGCTCCCGAGGAAAAGGTTTGAAAATGTTGCTGTATTTTGTCGATGAGTTTAGGAAGGGTGTATGAAGTGTAAACACACAAAAGATGATCATTAAAGTGGTCAAACGGCGCACAGGACATCACAGAAAAAAAACACAATTAGGAGGACAAAGTCATTTCTCCGCCTTGCTCTGCCTTCCCTCCCAGGGACATGTCTTTTCACTGTTTTTTTTTTTTCTTTTTCTTTTTTGCTACTGCTGCAGCCTGCTCTTCTTGAAATAAAATGATCAAAAGGAGAGTGCTTTGAATTATAGCAGATTGTTGGCTGTTTGCTACAGTATTGCTTCCACTGAAGCTGCCTTTTGTACTGTTTCAAATGCACCAGCCATTCACTGTGAGGGGAATTTTGTGCTTAGAGTGTATTCTTGTCCCTGTGCTTGTCACCAGGCACATCATTAGCATTCCTCAGCCAGCCTGCACCTTTACTGTTTGCTCCTGTGTGTGTGTGTGTGTGTGTGTGTGTGTGTGTGTGTCAGAGAGAGAGAGAGAGAGAGAGAGAGAGAGAGGTTCCTTTCAGCTAGTCTTCCCACTGCTCCTCTCCCTCACACAGGAGCTGGGAAGAACAAAACACTAAAGAATAAACTGCTGAAATCTATCTTTAATGATTGCTAATTAGTTGAAGGCAGAGAGGCCTTTAATGATATGTGCGAGTAAAAAAAAGAGTTTGGACCATAAATCATAGCATTATTAAAGAGTGCTGCTTGTCACTGGCAGTTATAGCCTGTTTCCATAATAGCTTCCATTATAAAGCAACTTGGCAGCTGTCAGCTGTTTTCTTGTAATTAAACAGCCAATGAGCAGCTAATTAAGACATATGTGTGTGGAGCAGTAGAGTGGGGCATGTTAATGATGTGCTGGAATCAATTCATTAAGTCAAAGGATGAGGAATCCAGTCGGTGTGCACCCGCAATCCTTTAGCACTGCACATGCCAGCGCTGCGTTAATCAACACTAATAACCCTGCTGAAGAAAAATACCATCCAGTGTTATCAGTCCTACCCAAACACACCACCCTCCTGCTGCACACACTGGTGCAAAACAAAGCTCGAACAGCCAGAAGAACACAAGCGCAGAATGTTCTAATCTGTTAGGTGGCTTTTAAATGATATCAACGCAAGGTGTACAATAAACTACAATCATTCTGCAACACATTATGTGATCTGTGAATCACTCTGAAGACCATGAATTGATCTTTCAGTCCCAGATCATATTTCTTCCACCCATAGTGGTAAGTCCAGTAACCCGAGGTGTCTCCATCCACAGGGCTTCTTCAGGAGGAGTCAGCAGAGCAATGCAGCGTACTCATGCCCCCGTCAGAAGAACTGCCTGATCGACCGCACCAGCCGCAACCGCTGCCAGCACTGCCGGCTGCAGAAGTGCCTGGCAGTGGGCATGTCCAGAGATGGTAAGTGCTTCATGGTGGAGGTGGGATAATGAAGCAGTATGGTGGGGTGTGCCGGGAGAGGTAAAGAGCCCAAGTTCAAGCTCCTGTGTGGGCCAGAATCAGCTGAAGTGTCTTTAGACCAGATTTGGAAACCGGTGATGGAAGAAGGAATTGTCTAATATCAGCTGTCCATTTTCTGAACTATTGATCATGTGCATTTAATGCCCATGACCACCATGTGGTGTGGCTTGTTTGCCAGTCAATGCACCTTTCCAATCCAAGATTTAATCAACCCACCCAACACCTTCCATTTCAGGTAAATGATCATGTTACAAAATCAAAGTAGATCCATAGCACAAGAGTGTTGTGTTTTTTTTTTTCAAAGCTGTAAGTGAAATAGCATCATTCAGATCATAAACAACACTCAGCGCAAAACTTTTGTAACAGATTATCTACCTTCAAATGACATTAGCACATGTGCATGCTACATTGTGTTACATGTTATTGTTATTTTGTAGTTTATTCATTACACTACATTGGGCGCTGGAAATGTAGTCTTGTTTGAGAGGCAGACAGAAACAGAAAATGACGGCCATTATTTCTCCGAGACAAAAACAGAGTAAAAACATGGTGGCACGAGCACACGCTAAGACTACCCTTTATTATGTTCATTGTCTGCCAGTAGCAGGTGAGACTCGGTCTGTGGGACTAATTTGTTGCTTTGATAGAAACTAGGTTTTGATGAAATAGGGGCTTGTTAGAGGTTGTCATTAGTGCTACTGCAGCTGAGATGCAGTAATGGGAGCACACAGGTGGGGATGTGTGCTGGAGGACTCCTGCTGCGCTCAGGCTGGTCCAGACATGCTGGTCCAGACTTTGCCCGAGCTGTGAAGATTATTTTAGAGCAGAACAGATTTGTTTTGGGTTTTGTTACTATTCAACACACTAGAATGAACACACACGTGCACAAAAAAACAAAAAAAACAGATCATACATGCACAGATGCCTGTTTAGGCAAACTGCTTTACACATGAATACATATAGCGATGAATATGAATGAGCACTTAAGTACATTAGCGCATATAAACACCTAAGCATAGGCAAACACATTCTCACGTGCAAAGACATGCACACACATGCACAGAAACACACATGGTCAGGACGGACGAAGGTGACTCTTGCCTTCACTCAACACACCAGAGCCCATCTGCCTGCCCTCTCCTCGGTGACACTTCATTCGCTTTCCACTGAGTGTAGACAAACACACTCACTCACTCACTCACTCACACACACACACAAGCACAAGCACACACACACATACTCAGTGTGACCGGCTGACATACTGCCAGGCCCCCAGAACTCTGGCCAAGGAGTCTCATTCTTAGCAGCACTGTTTAGTCTGGAAACCTTGAAACAGGAGGCAGTAACTGAGCCTACCTCGCGTCTGAATGGCCGGGGAAAGCCATTAGTCACTTCCCAATGGTGCCTCTGTACTTAAGACGTTGTTCAATTGTAATAATCTCTGTCATTATAACTGGGCCCTCCTTACTGATGCTTTACATTTGTTTTGTTTTTGTCAGTTAGAAAACTGCAATACAATTTCAAAGAATGCATCATTTCTGAAATGTCTGTTGTCCACCTGCTCAATGTATTGTTTAAGTGAGTATTAGTTATTTGTAATAACTCGTTACATTCTGCCAATAGGCCTCTAGGTGCTCAATATTGAAAATAATGTGATTCTTTGTTATCGTCAGTCCATCATGTTATCTCTGTCTTATCACAGCGGTGAAGTTCGGCCGCATGTCAAAGAAGCAGCGAGACAGCCTGTACGCTGAGGTCCAGAAGCACCGGCTGCAGCAGCAGCAGCGCGACCACCAACAACAGCCGGGTGAGGCGGAGCCACTCACACCCAGCTATGGCCTCTCAGCCAATGGCCTCACGGAGCTCCATGACGACCTCAGCGGCTACATGGACGGTCACACCCCCGATGGCAGCAAACCAGACTCGGCGGTCAGCAGCTTCTATCTAGACATCCAGCCATCTCCTGACCAGTCAGGCCTGGACATCAACGGCATCAAACCAGAGCCCATCTGCGACTTTGCCCCTGGCTCTGGCTTCTTCCCTTACTGCTCCTTCACCAACGGAGAAACCTCCCCCACCGTGTCCATGGCTGAACTAGGTAAGGAGCAGGAGAGAGGCAAGGGGAGACAGGAGGAGAGACGGCAAAAAAAAAAAAAAAGGAGGAGGGGGGAGAACAACTCAACCGTGGGGCAAACGACACAAAGGTTGCTTAAAATAGCAGGAGGTTGGAGACTCATCTCCAACACTCATTAAAAGAGCCTCTTTTTTTGTAATTAGTTTCCATTAATTAGGGCCAATCAGGATCCAGCAGGGCAGGCGTCTGGGGAAATCATTTTTTTAGGCTCCCCTGTGCTTAGGAACTCCTTTTAACAGATGTGTTTTCAAAACCATTTAAATTCTTATACTCAATATTTCTCTCCGAGAAAATGTGACCTTTGTTTGAGTGAGTAACGTGGCGCCCCTCCTCCCCTCCATGCATTTGTGTCATAACTAGATTGGCTTTGCCTCAACCTTAAGTTATGAGCTTCCTGCAGGCGGTAAAAGGAAATGTCAACAAGCCTTTTCCCAGTCAAAAAAAAAAAAAAAAGCCCACGCATATCCGCCTCTCCTCCGTCTTGAAATCTCAGTAAATAAATCTTCTTTTCCTGTGGCACATTTCATCGTCGGTGTCTCCACTTTCACATAGCCTCATGAGCAACATTCAAATCTCGACTGTGATCTGTTTTGGTTTTCGTGACGATTGGTTGTGTTGCAGAGCATCTGGCCCAGAACATCTCTAAGTCACACATGGAGACATGTCAGTACCTGAGGGAGGAGTTACAGCAGATGACCTGGCAGGCCTTCCTGCAGGAGGAGGTGGAGAGCTACCAGAACAAGGTAACCCGTTCGCAACCACAACCACGGCAGTTTTACACTTATCAAATCCATTGTTTTCAAGCAGCTAACCCATTCTCTTGCCTTTTATGTCTTAGCCCCGGGAAGTCATGTGGCAGCTGTGTGCTATCAAAATAACAGAGGCCATTCAGTATGTGGTGGAGTTTGCCAAGCGCATCGACGGCTTCATGGAGCTCTGTCAGAATGATCAGATAGTGCTGCTGAAAGCAGGTATGACAGCCTGTCAACATGGCCCTGCTGCCGTCAAACTCACCCACACCAACCAACCACCACCACCACCACCCCCTCTGGCATTGTCACAAGGGCGTAGCTGACCTGACTGCACAAAAGCCTCCTCTTTACACGCACAGACAGTGTCACAGAAAGGAGACCCCGCCCTGCCTGTCTGTCTCTGTCGCTCTCTATTCTCCTCTGTTCATTACATACAGCACTTAGCAGGGATGGACACAGTATTAGATAAGCAGTGTGTTCCTGAGCTCTGATAATACCTATCAAGACGGCTGCCATTTCCTTCATCTCCTCCCTGACACCCACTATGTCTGCTTATTCATAGTGCTCTCATGAAGACGTACTTCCAGAATATTTTATGCAGCTATGGCTCAGTGCACACACTGGCACCTATATTTATCCACAAATACAAATCCTCTCACAGGTACAAACATAGGGCACATGCAGGAAACAAACACCTCCCCTGGGTCTCTCCCTTAGTATTATTTACATTAGCACAGCCAATACAAATAGTAAAGCAAAGACTGAGATCTCTTGTCAGACATGACATTTTAAAACATCAGCTCTTCCCTCACAGGCAGTAATGGCTCCTGTTATATTTTCTTGATCCTCTTATCCACTCCCACAGAGTGGTTCAAATTGTAGGATGGGATATATTCCCTTACCTATCTTACTAAATAAAGCCAGAATTATAAAGCTGTGTCGCTACTGAATGAAGTGCAGTTTTTACCTGGCATGTCGTTATGGAAGAATAGCCTTCTGTTTATGATATTATCATCTGTAGGCATGTTTTTTTTTTTTCCCCCCCCGTCTGACTGCAGGCTTCTTTATTTAAAAGTTGCTTGTGATACTTGTGTTCTAAAAGAAAAAGCACAAAAGCACAATCATGTGTTTTGCATCCCTGACTGATGTGAAACTGTGAGGGAAAACAAAAAAAAAAAAAAAGAAAAGAAGCAAAGCTCAGATTCAGCATCTTGTTCCTGTCTGTCTCCACAGGCTCTTTGGAAGTCGTGTTTGTCAGAATGTGCCGTGCCTTTGACTCGCAAAACAACACAGTCTATTTTGATGGAAAGTATGCCGGACCTGATGTGTTCAAGTCATTAGGTAAGTGAAGCGGGTGTGTGTGCGGGTTTGAATGAGTGCATGTGTGCTTGCATGCTGCCGTGTTCTTGTTGTAATAACCAGAATCAAAGTGTGCGCTGTTGTGCTCTGCACCATGCTTAAGGGTTGGAAGCAAACACGTAGCACTCATCCCTGCCTCACCTGGCATTGCTGTCTCTGCGACGGTTATTTCCGGTAGAGCAGAGATGTTGGTGAGCTTCTGCTGCATATGGCTCCTGTAACTGTGGAATAAATAAAGCCAGACGGAGCGTCTTTAGGGAGAGTGCTATCAAAACCAACATTGATAGTCTGACATGAAACATTTCAAGCAAAAGCAAATAGCATTCGTGTTTGACTGCCATGACATTAGGAAGAGTCTCCACTATGGATTTCCTCACATCTCCAGCAGCCTTTTGATGGAGAAAATGTAAAATATGTCCCAAAGTGGCAGTAAAAATGGTGAATTCTGTTTTGTGGGACAAGTTTACTGTTATTTATACCTCCCTGCCTATTTGTGTGCGCATGTTTAAAGGAGGAACATGTGTATCCGTCCCAGTGTCCTGTGTGTTCTGCACTGAGGGGTCCACAGCGGGGGGAGGCAGAGTGATGGGCTTCCCGAGCCGCGGTGGCATCCGCCTGTCTCTCTCTATCCCCGATAATTGATTTAACTAAAAGCCTCAATAGTGACCTCATTTTGGCTTGCATAACACCACCCAACTGCCAAAAGTGACTCGTCTGGGAGGCAAAAACTCAGTAAAAGCATTGCCTGTTCTGCTTAAGACGCTCCCATGTGCTGTCAGCATGCCGCTCTTTTTTTCATTCCTTCCCCCTTCCTCTCCCCCTCCCTGTGTGCCTCTCTCCCAATAAAGATCAAGAGTGAGTGTTGTTCTTTGGTCTTCCTCATCCTAAGCCCTCTCTCTGTGTCCTTTGCTGTGGCAGGCTGTGACGACTTGATCAGCTCCGTCTTCGAGTTTGGGAAAAACTTGTGTTCTATGCACCTGTCTGAGGATGAGATCGCCCTGTTCTCCGCCTTTGTGTTGATGTCTGCTGGTAGGTGTCACTCACAGTGCAAAGGGAGAGAAAGAAAAAAAAAAAAAAGAAAAAGAGGCAGGCACACATTCACCACGACAAGGAGTTGCTGTTGCCCTCCTGTTTTTCTCTATCAATTAATATCCTCCCCCGGTAGTGTTGCGGCATTACTTTTCACATGAGCAAAGTTGACATTTGGAGACGCCTACATGTGCTTGTAAAGTCACAAAAAAATGTCTTGATTTACCTTTCAGACCGGTCTTGGCTCCAGGAGAAGGTGAAGGTGGAAAAACTCCAGCAGAAGATCCAGCTGGCTCTCCAGCATGTCTTGCAGAAGAACCACAGAGAGGATGGTATACTTACAAAGGTACAGTGCGATGCAGTGCACACTCCATCCATTATCACTGAAAGTGGCTGTCTGCTCAGCATGCTCTACATTTGTAGTAATGTAATCTCCTACTGTTTAGATCTTTATCCACAAGCAATGGAGCTGTTTTAGCACATTCATAATGCTACATGAAGTGCATTTTATCAGTAGGGAAGTAGCAATTTATCAATTGTAGCAGCTCCGTAATATGAAGTGTCAAGTTTTGCTCGTGCCTGAGTGCTTGTCTCAATATTTACAAGTCTGTTTGGCCCTGTGTGAGCGGGAATACACTGTAGGGAGGAATGTTTTTCACTACCACTACTCCATGTCCTTGCCTCCCTGTGAATCTAAACAGCCTGTCTCCTCTCTCTCCACAGTTGATATGCAAAGTGTCGACACTGCGAGCGCTGTGCAGTAGGCATACAGAGAAGCTCACAGCTTTCAAAGCAATATACCCAGACATTGTGCGTGCCCACTTCCCCCCCTTATACAAGGAGCTGTTCGGATCAGACTTTGAGCAGTCCATGCCCGTTGACGGGTAGCAGCCCTGCCAGGTGCCAGTGTGCCCACCGTAGGGGAATGTGGAGGAGGAATCTGAGACACTTTATTGGTGCCCTGCACAAACCAGAGCGGACAGATGGCACGCTGTTCAACTTCTTCTTTTACATCGGACGGGAGGGCTTAGGGAGTTGATTCTCAAGGTTTACTTTATTGAATTTAGTTCTCTGTCTGGAAGACTTGTGAGACCCGACAGCACGTGGGACATGAAGAGGAGATGGGGACAAATCAATTCTGTCTGGCTGAACTTAACCCTTTTATTGCACATTTCAAAATTTAAGCCAGTGGATATTTTATTAATTTTTTTTTTTTTATTGTCAACAGTATTTATTGCATCCCCCTGGTTTTGATTTGTCCATACATCCGACTCACAATTGAATACACAAAAGCACAAGTCAGTTTTGGATAGTACTAATAACCCTACCAATTCAGATTGAACATTTTTGTATTCCAAACGTTTAATTGGCTTAACCCTATCGACTACACTCTACGCCAGAATCAAAACAACAAACTCCTAAAGTGTGCACATTTTGGTCAAGTTCAGCCATGTTCTTTTCTCTTGTGTTCAGCTGTATCTTTTTGGACAAAGTTCCTGGAATGAAAAACTCACAGCAACTTTGAGGGAGGGGTCTGTCGGCATGGTGATGCAATCGGCACCTCTCTGTGGACAATCGTTTCAACAAAAAAAAAGTTTGAAAAAAAAAAAGAAACCTAGAATTCTGGTAATTCTAATGAAAACGCAATGATTTTAGCTGTCAAAGACTCCATCCACCATTGTTGCATAGTGAAATCATGTAAGGCCATCTGCTATTAATCCTTCTCTGGACAGGTGCCCTGGAGAAGCACAGGGCACCAACACAATGAAAAGGGTCCATTCCACCTGTTTTATAATGTACTACAGGGTATATGGTCATAAGTACTTACTATACAGAAAAAAAGTAATGTTTATAGAATCTATTTTAAATAACATGTATGATATTAGTAGTTAGACCATTCTTAATTGTTGAATTGATAAGGCACTTTTATTTACACCTTTCTTTAATTTAAGACTTGTATATTTACCTAGTGATGTGTTGCATGTGCACAAGAAATACAAGTTGAACCATGGTCACAGAGGCTAGTCCCGGGAGCTGCAGATGATTCTGGTCTGGAAGTGTAAGGGCTTTCTGTTAGGACTGCTCGCTGGTTGGTGGACAAAAGAGGCAGATGAGAAGGCAGGTTAGAGTCACTCTTATCAGCTGTGTTACCCTGACAACACCTGTCAAAATGTAGCTCTGACACTCCTTTAAGGGAGCAAGCACACACACACACACACACACACACACAATATTTCTGTTCTTTCTTGATCAAGTCAAGGTGTTATATGGTGACATATGCAATATTTGTGACTATGCTATAATTTTGGTTCTAATTTAACTGTTGAAAACTTCACATTTAATGTAAAGAGCACAAGAAAGGACGAACATTATCACGGCCAGGTCTTACAAAAAGCTGGAATATCCCCGGGTTTAGAGCACACATTTAGACTGTAATCCAACTCTTCCATCTAGTGGAAGGTAAAAGACACAGCAAGCTAAAAGCCTAACAAAGAAACAGGGTCTAATCTAAAAGCACATTTATGAGCCTCTATCAAAATGTTTTTTTTTTTTGTAATTGTTTTCTGTTATTGTTTTTGAGTGACTTTATCTGCCTTCTCAGCAACAGCCTCAGTCCAGCTACGCCACTACAGGGCACAGAAGGAACAGTGAAGGGGGGGCAGGGGGGAGTGAATATTCAAAGCCTTGTCTGGTAGTAAAGCTTCTATTTTTGTAACACGTTTTGGTTTATAAACTCATGAAAGAGAAGGAGGGAGAGAAAAAGATGTCAGGTAGCACTTAACTATATTCCCGCAATAATTAGACTAGCCGTTGTTTGTATGATTAGGGGAGAAACGTAAAAATGGTAGGACAAGTGCTATTTTCAGAATGCTTTGTTGTTGTGTTTCTGTTTTGTTGAGTGTGTCTTTCTTGTCAGTGTGGTAGTAAAGTGGTTTTTGGACAAAAAAAAAGAAAAGAAGAAAAACCTCGTTGTGCCAAACAGTAGTCGTTGCTTCTGCTTTCCAGTCTACTCGTCTATTATGTAGAATGGATACCTAAGACATTCCAGCAATCTCAGTAGCGACTTGAAATATCTTTCAAAAAACAACACAAAAAAAAAGGAAAAAAAAAAAGATATCCCTTTAGAAACCCAACAAAGCATGTTAATACATCTGTCACCGACCCCTAACATAGAATCTAGTTGTTTTGTCTTTTGTTTTCTGTTCGCACACGATCATTCCTCTGCCGTGCAATTTGTACAAGGCGTTGCTGCCTTGTGCTGTCACCCCTCAGGGAAGAGTTTCTTTTGCGCTTTCTGTTTGAGAGGACATTTGTTTGTTACTCATTCGATTTAATTTATGTTGTTTTTGTCAGGGATGTTCCATGAGAAATGGTTGAGGTTTGAGTGTTTTTTTTTTGTATTGACGTCCTTATTGGGGACCTCCAGCCACTCAAAGGCCACTGCGGCCCTACGGTCAAGTTCAACAAAATGTCATTTCGAACAACACAAACCCCCATCACATTTTTAAAAAAAAAGCAGTTCTATCAGCACACAGCATATTGTCACACACACACACAAAACAAACTGTTTTTGGTTTCAAATGGTGTCATCAGGGTCTTTAAAAAATGATAACCCTCTTTGTTAGAAAAAACCAAATATTCTTATGCAATACTAAATCTGTTGTGTTCGGGTTGTAGTAGATATGCTGTACCTAAGTAATAATCTTTGTTAAGATCCAATGCTATTTGGATATGCACAAGCCCAGTACGACTAGTAAACCTCAGTCTCCCAGCTAAACAAACCCAGTCTGGAACTCTGCTAGACAATCCAGGTTGAGAGGCTCAGTTTGTGGCCCAGGCAAGAGCAAGCGAAGAGGATGAGGTGTGTATGCTCAGGGAGGTAACAGATAGGCCGAAGAAGCAGCTCGCAGAGCACTCGATCAGATGAATTAATGAGGTCTTTAAAAAAAATCTCTTCAAAGCACTCATTTGATACGAGGAGGTGGCAGAGCACACTGAACACACAGTGCAGCACTTACTGATCAGGAAAAGGAAAAGAAGGAAGAGATGGAGATTTGGCTGATTTTCTGTTATTTATTTGCAAAAAAAAAAAAAAACAAAGTTTGTGTTTGGAAACCTTTAATTTGTTGTTTAAATCAAACAATTCAGTCTTTTCTCAAACATGATTAGCAAAGGTCTACTACCTACACGGTTCCTGTCTCATGAAATGAAAACGTTGTGTTCGATATAAAACAAGCAATACGCCTTGTGTTTAAAAATTACGGGTCTCTACGGTTCATCCTTTTGAATTGGCGTTCTTCATTCAGCTGATTCAACTTATTCTCAGTCAAAAGCATAAAAAGTAATAAAGCCACACTGCTCTGTTTTTAATCTTCTGGTATGGTTGTAATATTTGGCAGGATAGCAGAAAATCGCTCCTCAAACATGTGGAAACTTGTGTCAAATTATAAACTGCTCCTCCACACGGGCCTGTAAAGTGATGTCCTTCTGTGTATTATCACTTCTTGATATCCCGATTTAAGTAAGGGATCGATGCTAAGTGTGCGATTCAATCAGTGTATAGTGTTCAGTCAAATGTGCTGGTCCTTCTGTCTCTGCTCTGTTGTCTGTTTTGTAAAAAGCAATAGTGTGTGTGTGAATGTGTGTATGTGTTTGTTCTCACAGTGTGTGAATAAAAATAAACCCCAGACAAGGCTTTAATAATTACAGAGGAACAGGGTTATGTGGACGAGGAGTGGTCTTGATTTTATTTTGGACTTTAAAAAAAAAAAAATTCAAAGGGTTTTTTTGGAAAAGCTGAGCTCAATCCATCCAAACATGATAGGTGTAGGTTTCAAAAAAAGCGTGACATACTGCCTTCAACAATTCACAGGTCTGCAGAAGGCTGTGGGGAAACATTGACCGGCTCCACAGTGCAATCACGCTTCACCGTCGGTTTCAGACAGCCGAATCTTCAAATGAATGGTAAATGAATTCTGGACTGGATTAAATTGTGAAAATGAAGTTATTCTCGACCCTAAATTGTGAAGATCAGCGCTATGTCACGCTTTAAGTTGTGCTGGAGTGTCGGGTGTGTTACCAAGAATTCTAAGTCAGTCATCACATTTGGACAGAACTCATCCTCCAAAGCACAGCTGATAAGGATTTATGACTTACAAATACGTTTTAAGAATATAGTTTAAAAAAAAGAAAAAAAGAAAAGATGAAAAGCAACTTCTAGCCATAATCGAATGTCAAGCAATAATATATGTCCGTGTATTCTTTTCTTTTATCGGATTCTTTTGTGCATAATAGTCTCTGAACATCTGCATGTAAATACACCTCTTATTTATCACCTTTTTTTTTCTTTTTTTTCTTTTGTTGTGTTGATTCTTCCGTGGATTGTTTTTACGTTTCATCTGTATATTTGACCAGTTCTGTTCCCGGGTGGAGAACCAAGAACTCGATGGCCTGTATGATGTATATCTTTTTCTCTCTCTCTCTCTCTCTCTCTCTTTCTCTCTCCCTCATTCTCGGCTGTTTATTCACCATATTTAATGTTATAATTGATCACGTGTATAAAGGTAGCTTTGTAATTTCTGTCTGTATAGGTAAGAGGAAAATACTGCTACTAAGGCCTACCCAGTGAAGATATTTATCTGTTTATCGATTACACCTTATTGTACGATAACTCGGTTTCTAGTTTGCTTCCCTCTTTTAGGATTAGTTTGGTAGAAATAGGGTATGCTGACATTTATTTTGTGTTGCCCTGATGTGTGGTGCTAGGTAAGTTAATTTTGTGAACAAAGTATTGATTCCTAAGCCTAGCCGCCCTATTAGTTCATTCATTTCATTGCATATTAATGTATTATTGATATTAGGACTCAATAAATAATAATGATAATGAAAATGATAGTGGTAAAAATGTACCCGGCCAGTACCTGTATCAGTGTGCTCGTCTCGGGATAAGGCACTTATTTCCTTCTGACTTATAGCAAAGCTAGTATCTGCTAATTAACAAACTATTTAAGGTTGCTTTTTGGGGTTTTTGGAGAAATGCTAATATTCAAACTGAAACAGCAGTATTGTGTTTTTCTTTGTCTGATTGTATAAAAACCACTCACTGAGGCTATAGTTTGTCAGGTTTTTAAGATACTTAAGATTTACCTCTTGTGTCTGCATAGTTCTTCACCTGATGCAGGAAAGTGGTGCTTTGATTTGATGAAACAGAGCCTCGCTATATGCTTTTGTTAACCCCCGCCCCCCCTCCCGTTTTAGACTATCCTGAAAGTGGTTTCCTCATAAACCTTTTTTTTTTTTTTTTTTTGCACCACATGAAGTGTTACAAATGTCTATGACAGAATTGCCATTTGAGGACAAAGTTGACCTTTTCTCTCCACTCTGTAGCAAATATCAGTGAGAATATGCTTGCAATAATCTACAACGTATCACACTGAGTGCCTCTCGGTGTAACAAGATGCATACATGGTTCTGATTGTCTTCTTCTTTTTTTTTTTCTTTGTGGTTTTTCCAGACGTGTTCTGAAGTGACAATGTATTTTGTACATGAGGAGGATAAATTCTCACTCGCAGGCTTTTTTTCAGATTCTTTCTTTTTATGTGATGTTGATCATTTTCACGTGGGTTAATGCGTCAATGTTTTTGATGGTCCGTTTCCAGTGTACGTGTCACCCCTCACCTTATTTGATGAACATTAACTGGGAAGAAGTTTATTTCATGTCCAATTTTTGAGTCCAATAAATGTTTGCAGATAATATGACAGAAAAATACACCTGCACTTTTTTTGATCAGGCAAAAACTTACAGGCAATCCACATTTCTGTTAAGTTTTTATTTTCTTCTTATTGCATCAAAGAACAGATTTATTGACGCATTGTATATCAAGTATTTGTATGTGTTTGTAAAAGATGCAAACAACACATCTGGATTTCTTTGGTGTTCTGTGTTCAGTGTACGCTCAGTCAGTCGGGGTAACTTAACATGAAGGGTGGGTGGAGCAGGGGTGGATTCTTCTTTCTTTTTTTTTCATGCAAATGCCGTTCCATTTATGGGAAAAGCCCCTAAACTCTGTGTGGTTGTCACAATTTCTAAGTCACACGTTTGCTACTGATGTTATAATGGGGACAGATGATCATGTACCTTTTTATCCAGCTCTTTTGAACTCCTTTTAGCAGGTAGTCTATTCACAAACGTAGTTTTGCTCCTTCTTGTCTGATTCTTAAATATGAAAATAAGTATTTTGATTCATTTTGTAAATACAGCTGTAAAGAAAAATAAGAAATTTAATGTTGTCTTTTAAATACTTTTCATTCTAATATGAATGTTGTTATATTGTACTTAGAAACTGTACCTTTAATATTACCTTTATTAAAAGTGCATTGGACACATCGATTTTAGATGTGCTTTATGTGCTGTTATCCCATAATAAAATTTACCGCTTGTAATGGGCTTTTATTTTCTGGCTCTTATTCTGTCTCTGTCGTTCTATCTTCATCTCATTCTCTTTGAATCAAAACTAATAGCACTATATATTTTTGATTCATAATAACTTCAGAAGACCTTGATGTCTTATTAAGTGTTACAGTATTTATTTAGAGGTAGCCTCTGATCTCTAAATACTTTGAAATAATTACAATTCAATAAGTCAACACTTACAACCAAATCTTTTCAAATGACAAAGGAAGCAAGAGTCTGCCATTTGTTTTTCCCCACAGTCAAGTGTATATTTCATTATTTCACAAAAGATACCAGAATACCAGAACCTAAGAATTGTTTTTCTCAGACATAAACTGGAACAGTGCAAATACAATAACTTATTTGTAGTTGAAGTCATGAGATACATATATCAGATTCAGATTCAGATTCAGATTCTTTATTGTCCCACAAGGGAAAATTTGATTTGTAGCAGGAGCATACAGATGAAAACAAACACAAGGACAACATCTCTGTAAAATCTAAAATAGGACAAAGTTAAACAAGCAGACAACACAACAAAATGTAAAAACAATATAAAACATTATAAATAAAATCTGTCCATAGATCAAACCAAAATGGGAATTCTTACCAAGTTAGTAAATTGAAGAGGAAGTGTGCAAATGTGCAGTTAAAAGTGTAAAAGACCAACCAAAGGGTTATTATATTTATGGCAACAGGGACAAATGAGACCTGGAGTCTTTCAGTTTTTCTCACAGGAGCTCTAAAACGACGAGCTGAGGGTGAAAGGTCAAACTCACTGTGAAGTGGGTGATTTGAGCAGACAAGTATGGCCTTCGCGCTCCTCAGGACCTGCTGGTTATAAATGGTCAGAAGCCCAGTCTGACTCCTCCCTGATGCTTTGCTACTTGTTTTAACAAGCCTTCCACTTAAATTCAGACACAGTGTTCTTGTTAAAGGATTCAATAATCATGATGTCATGTTTAGTAACAGGCTTTAGTTCTGTACTTTATAAACTATCAGGGCCTGCATATATCTTACTTGAGTTAGGGATTATTTCATTTCCATTTTAATCCGAGCTGGAAATTATATCTTTACATTTACTTACAGGCCCTCTTAGTTAAACTCTGATGAGTGATTACGGGTTAATTTTTTACTTCAATTAAGGATGTTTTTTTGCTTGATTTGTAATCAAAATTGCAGCTAAGGTTTATGAAGAACAAACGATGTATGCTATTAATTCGACAAGAGCAATGTAAACTGAACAGTTTCCACCTAACCCACCTGAGTAGGCTACTGAATGATTGCTTCTTATAACCAACCTTTGAGAAAAGAGAATTGTTTTCAAACAGAAAGTATGACATAGTCTTCTGAAAACAAAGATATTTTAATAACTTCTCTTTCGGGGGGGCGGTGGAGCTCGATTACTGAGAACCAAATTAAAAATAAAAACAAAGAATATTGTAAATGGACCTTTTTCAAATACACAGTAAATATGCAGAGCAATTGACGTTAGCGTCCACAAGGGGGCGGTACAACTACATCAAGCGCCTGAACGTCAACATAATTTCACCCGACGAAGAAGAAGGTCAACGTTTGTAAACATGAGCCAGCCGAAGGCTAAATGACTTCTTCACAATAACTTAGATGCTGTGATTTCCGAGGACAAAGAAGCCGTGACAATAATGGAGCTGGTGTGGTAAGTTACACTTTCACAGTAAACTTTTAGAAGACTGTCACCGTGACTCATCAACTTACTAAACCAGCATGGTGTCTGCTTTCAGTGGAGTTAGCACACAATGCTAATGAAGCACGAAGCGTTTGTGAACGACGTGTAGAGCACACAAGTCTGAACACGGGACGACATTTACAGCATTGTTTTTGAGCTGTTTAAAAAATATATGCATTTTAATTCAAACACACTACAGTCACTGAATTTGTCACCTGTGAATTTTCGGTTTTTGCATGTGAAATTTGGATATTATAAACAAAAGGTAACTTTAACCCTCATGAACACAGTAAAAGTGTTTTCTGTGTATTTTTTTTTTTATCATGAGTGAAATTAAACAATTATTGACTGAATTTAAACAAATTAATACCCAACAGTTCAGGATATTCACTCCAAAAACTACAGTTTACACCTCTATGTCCTCAATCTTTTTTTTTAATTTTATTTTTAACAACTTTATTTTAAATTGTACATATTGTTACATCAAAATCAGATGAACATTCACAGCAAGAAGTTGTTAACCCTTAATCCCACCCTCCACCCCCTCCAGTTGGCATCCCCACATAAATACACAAACCTTTAGACAACAAGGCATCAATACATCGAGGGGTGTATTAACATGCACATAAGCACTCATACATAACATAACAAGAACAATATGCATCTAGATGTTGATCCTCTTAATGATAGCAATATGTACGTTGTTGCCACAGAGACAAAAAGGAATTAGATAGACAATGACAATAATACAAAAAAGAAAATAAAAAAAGCATCGGACATACAATCACAAAAATAACCCAATCTGGCATGTTTAGATTATGCTACTCGTGGTACCAGTATTCTAAACCCTTCAGGAGAGAGGGTAGGTAACAGCTCCGACAACCATAATCAAAGTCTCCCAACTCATCAGTCACAGAGCCGATACAGCATCTCAGGTTAAAGATAGGCCTCTGACATGTGTGATAAAAAGTGACCAAGTTTTCTCATACTTATCTTCCAACCCACATACTTTATATCAAAGCTTCTCCAGATCTAGTCCCAACATTATTTCTCTGATTCAATGAGGCGGGAAAACATCAATTCATCATCAACTGCTCCAAAAATAGCTGTTATTGGGTTGGGAGGTATTGTCCTACCAGATATTGCAGAGAGTGATTGGGAAAACAGATATCCAGAAATTTGCATAATGATGGGCATGCCCAGAACACGTGCCCTAAGGAAACGGGAGAATGATGACACCTGGGACAAATTGGAGCCACACTAGGATATAATTTAGCTAACCTGTCATTAGAGTAATGTCCTCAATCTTTTTTAATCTAATTTTAAGATGGGTAAAATGTATCTTTGCATTTCATAGAAAGTTCCTTAATAAAACAGTTTTCAATTTGTACATGGTTTTTTTTATATGTAAAAGTTTTTTTGTTCAGTAATCCAATTGTGCTGTTCGGTCCAGCTGATAGTAACGTAACTTAAAACAAAAAAATCACAAATGTTTGTTAGATACGTTGTGATTTTTTTGGACATTCTTGATGCTCAACTCGTATAAAAGAAATGTGTGTAAGTTTATGATACATTTCTTTGACTCTCCCCTGAACGTGTGTTTGGTTTATAGAGTGGTAAATAAAGATTAACTTACTGTTATAGAGCTATAATAAACAGAGCTACATGTTTGTTGTAACAAAAAAAGTATGCAATCATTTATCACAATTTGAAATGATTTATCCTCGTGTGAAATCAATTCTAATTGGTTATACAGAATAAATGCTAGGCCGTTATTGATGCTTCAATAGTTAAAATGTTTGAGATTTGAGATGTTCTTTCTTTTGTTGATGCTTTAGCCAACAGGTCTCAGGTGGATTTGTTAGTCATCTGAGCAAGTGTGGTTGAGACGAAACCCAGACTTCTTTCTTAATAGTGTCATGCTTTACAGACTCGTCGTCTTTGTATACTTTATATTTTAACACAAAGTAATGGTTGAATGTTCGGGCACTGCGTCCTTTAATATCATGTGTATTTTCTCATTTGAATGTAAGGGAGGACCCTCCAGTCCCTGATGCTCCTTTCTTTACCAGGGATCTCTATGACAAATATTCACTTGCGCCTAACATCAGAGAGCTATGGTCCTCTCTCCAAAGGTTTGTCAATAGAGTAACATATCAAGAACTACTACAGTTCTGGGATATATTTAAAAGACAAAACTATTGAGGGTTTATCTAACAGGATCTTTTTATCCTTCCCCCAGTCCTGTAGAAAATTCCAACATTAAACATGAGGGTGATGCTAATGCTGCCAGAGCTTCTTTCTTTTCCACCAAAGAAGAAGTTGCAGACAACAGTAACATCAGCCAGGAAGAGTCGTGTTTGTACAGTGATGATGGAGAGGACAATGAAAAAAAGGAGGCAGATGATGCTTTTCCTGATCCCCGACTGCCCTACCCGTGTTTGTCCAGTCTGTCCAGCAATATGCACAGGGCATATCTTGATTGTTTGATCAAAAAGAAAACAAGGGATACTCCACAGGTAACAGCATTCACTCATTCATGGTGTTTTATGTATGTATGTTTTTCATGCTTCAACAACCAATCTGCTCTAACATTTCAGGCCTTACAGGCACGAGTGAACACTGAAGTAATGGAGTTCACAAGGTACTTACAGGATGTCGCCAAAATATGCGCTGACGACTACTTCTTCATATCACAGGGAGCCAGGCAATATTCAGAGGTAATGATACTACAAAGATCCAACCTGTCGTCACCTCTGGGTATAAATGTGTTCCAACGTGGAGTCTTGATTTATCTTTCAGGATTTCTTCCGGGGCTGTTTGGAGTGCATCAAGACATATCCTCAGCTCTACCAGATCCATGAGATGACTAGTTTGACGGGGGGGACGTTCAACCCAGGGCTCACGCTGACCTTTGAAAAACAGCTGCTAATCATGGTAATGCACTTTACCAGTCATACGATCACACAGGTACAATTGAAGTCTCAAAAGTGGAGGATTAACATTTCACATTTTTCATTTGTTCATTAAGGCCACTGTCCAGTTTTCTATCGAACCTTTTAACATGAAGTGGTGCGTTGTGCAGAATCAGCCTTTGTGATTTGTTGATTCACTTCCCTAATTCCCATCTTTGTACCCTTTTATTTCTCCAGGGCAATGTGGATATTACCGACCACAAGATAGTGCCTGCTGATGCGCAGCTTGCATCGGATTATCAGAGTGTTTCATCAGAGAATCCTCCAGCTAAAAAAGCTAAGGACATGCACGCTGTAAGCAATTGTCTCGCTTTTTTAATTACTCTGATTAAAAAAAAAAAAAAAAGAGTCACAAAGATTTTTTTTACTGCTAGAATGGGATTCATGACCGCAGGTCTATTGTAACTCCGTTTCAGCTCTTGCAGTTTTCACAAAAGACACCAGAGGGTGTTCACGTCTTGCTCAGCAAAACCAGTGCTAATTAAGTTTCTGAAACATGGCACAGTCACGGCCAGTACTGTCAAGGTCCAGTTTATTGCATGAAGGCGTGTGGTTAGTTTTGTGGATTTGAACGATACAGTAGATTTTCTATTGACGTGACCACATCCCTTTTTTTTTTCTCTACAGACAGTCAGTGATGATAGTAACGCCCAAACCCTGTGTGATCGCTATGAGCCCCAAGTGTGTCTGACTCGAGATGCTCTTGTCAGGCTGCTAGACAACCATGGCCCTGGCTTTGGAGAGCAATGGGAACTGCCTGTTTGGGTTAAATGCAAACAAGAGAAAGGTACGGCTTTTAAGAATGAACATTTCTTCTTAACTGTATTTTTTTTTTAATTTTCAATGTAAGATGCATCCATTTCATTTAAACCTACCAAATAGCAGAATAGGAAAAAAATAATCCAATCTCAAAATGCAGATCAATACATTTATTATATAAGGCCATTGCATTCAATATAAAAAATTCATTGGAAGTACACATACGGATTTGCTTGTCTCTGTTACTGGGAGATGAGAGATTTGAATCCTGTTTGTTAAAGAAATACAGTAGTAAGGAAATGTGATATCTCACATAGTGTATTGACACTGTGTAGCCTCGCGGTGGCACTGTTTCACAAATTCTTTGTTTCATGCGTCTTATTTACAGGCAGCAGTCAGAAGAAGACTGTGTATGTAGACTCTCCACTTTTGAAGACTGAAATGACAGTGAGGGAGAGGAGTCATCTTTTCCACGAGGAGAGTTTAAAGCTTTCCTTTAATAGGAATGGAAGTAAAAATATTTTCCATGTAATGACAGAGCTTCCTGCAGGCGAGCAGCTACTCTCACAGGTATGTTGCTAACATATGAATATGATGCTGTACCTGGAATCATGCACTTAACTCTTTTTTTTTCCACCAGAATAATTCTTTATTTGTGTTTTTGATAGGAGAATTCAAAAAGGGAATTAGTGTCTTTTGAAAGTGGTCTTGACTTTGATGTGGATCTCACTGACCTGGAGACATTTGGGGAGACCGTGTCGACTAAAACCTCCCAGATGAAAAAGATGCAGACTGAGCAGGATGCATCCATAAGTAAAAAAGCAGCTATTCCCTCTCCTTTAAGTAAGAGTAAAAGGTCAGCGGAGAATCTTGTAAATTGCAGCAGTTCACAAGAAGAGATGGACGTGTCTTTGACGGATATGAACGATCCCACAACAGAGGAGACGACTCAGCCAGTTGTGTGTGATGTCACCGAGCCAAAAACTGAACTTATGAGACCGGACTCTGCTCAGGAAAGTGACAAAGACCTCATTGTTGCGGAGGACTCGGATGATGAGAAGCTGGTCATTGATGACATTGTGTCTCCTGCCAAAACCCCCACAACACAAGCTAAACCTAGAACCACACCGTGCTCTGCAGACTCCCCGAGCACACCTGTCTCTGAACCTGAATCTGCAAACTCGGAGTCATCTTCCCCTCAAAAAGGTAAAAGGCAGAGGCGGCAACCCAAAAGATCAAATGCAGCACCCAAGTCTGGTGACCAGCTGGGTGAGATCCTGCGCATGCAGACAGCTATGTTCAACACCGCCAATGACACAGCAAAACAATCCACAACATCTCCAGAGACTAAGACTCCAACCCAATGTACGGGAACCCCAGCCCACTCCCACCAAACATCTCTAGTCAAGCCCTGTGTGACCTCATATTTGGAGAGAAGCCAGAACCAGGAGAGAGAGACCTGCACTGCACCTCAGGAATCTACACCTGCAGCCAAGTTTACTTCTACAGAGCGCAAAAGTTAGTGTCAAATAAATTTCACATTTTTAGGATTTAAGTTGTTTATGTTCTTGGTTAACATCTAGAACATTGTGGCCCGACACACAGAAATACTCTCAGAAGACCTGCAGGCTGGGGCCGAGGACGAACAAGACTACGAGCCTCCAGAGGAAGGCAACCTGCTCTATAAGCTCTACAGTCTGCAGGATTTGTTGCTCATGGTGCGCAGTTCTGTTTCACTGACCCATTCCAGAAATGTTCGCTCTTCCCAAAACCAGGTAATAATAATACCTTTATTCAGGTCACAATGTTGCAATTCACTTAGCAGACGCTTTTATCTAAAGCGACGTACATCACCATTCATACACGGCCACAGTTATAGCGGGAGCAACTTGGGGTTAAGTGTCTTGCCCAAGGACACATCGGACATCTTGCTCAGCTGGGGATTGAACCCTCAACCTTTCGGTCGCGACGACACTACCAACTGAGCCAAAGCCGCCCTATTCATATCATTCTTTGAAAAAACAAGTTACAAAGTGCTTTACATTTTAAACAAAAATTGTAAAAACCCAAGCTTACAAACCGGTAAATAAGACCCAAACAGAAGTACACAATAAGAACAACAACAACGACACTGAGTTTGCCACTTTTTGTGAGCAGTCAAGCTTTAGAAGAAGCTAGTAGGACGTCAGGCAGTGATCACGCTCATAGGGAGTTAGCGGATAACAGTTAAAGGGTGGGGCTTTGCCATCTAAGGCTTTAAAATCAAGCAATAAGATATTTAAATCAATTCTTAAAGTCACAGGTACATTATAGTCTTTACACATCCTTAATCATTCAGAGTTTCATTTTACATTTTTAGGTGTCAACCGCTCTCTTTCTGACATTTTTTTTCTCCCTTTCACAGTTTGTGCCAGTGCATGTCCTGCCAAAGCTTGAGTACCAGTTGTGTTATGGTGTTGAGTGTTTAAGCAGCAGTGAGGCCTGTCAGCTGTGGACTGAGACTACGCTCCACTCCAGCACTGTCTCCTACATAGGTAAGATGTTTCTATTCCTTTTAAAAGCATTAGAAATCATGAAAGTAATGTTCCAAACTACTCTCAGCATTAGTTGCCATGTGGAGTTTTTCCCTTTGTCTTTAATTTTCAATATAATTGCCAGGAAAGTAGTCACAGTAGTATTTATGTGGATTAAACAGAAAGAGAAAAAGTTCTCCTCTTTCCCTCTTGTCCACATGGCAGATCCTCCCACAAACCCACGGAATAGTCTTTAGATGACTCACCGCCCTGCTGTTACTGTGTACTGATTGAGTTTACTTTGTTGCCATAGCTACAGTCATGCTTGATTGTGGGGAATTACAAAGAAAGCAGTGTGCCGAGCTCAGCTAAATGTTGTTTTCAACATCAGTTAGGCTCTCCTAATGCTTATTGTCGACTTACACATGCTCCTTAACTGGAGTGTAAGATTCACAAGAGACTCTTCCTTTTTGTGCTCTAGGTTTATTGATTAGTTGAGCAGTTTATGTGTTTGCTGGTAAACGTATGTCATCCTCTACCCAGGAGGCCCGTGTCACCCTTCTCTAAGCTGTGTTCTGTAAACTGACACACTGACAACATCAGTGATACCGTCAGTACAACATCTTTGTATTCTGTTTCTACAGTTAGCATCACTGCTATGAGACGCTGTTCAAAAAATGTGGACATCTCCCTGAATCAAAAGTATTAAGCCCCCGACAGTTTCATAAAAGTCTCATTTGTTGAGCTAATGTTTAAGAGTGTGTGAATGGTGTTACCCAAGAACTGTGATTCAAAAACACTCCAGTAAAGGAGTCACGACCAGAGGTGCGGTTAGGGAAGTCTGTAGACCAGCAAGGGCGTGAGACAGCATTTGGTTAGTCCTCCTTCTCAGTTAGAGGCCCACAGATTTGGAATACCCTCCAATCAGAAATAAAAACATTAACTGACTACAAAGCTTTTAATAACAAGGCCAAACAACGGCTTAAACAAAGGCAGATCTGCAAACACTAAACTACACATGGAATATAGCACAGCCTGTTTTACTTTTCTTTTCTCGTTGTTTGTTCATCGTTCTTAATTCTCATTCTTAGTCATTATCATCACTCTGCCTGTCTATGTATGCTTTACTGTTTGTTTTTATGCATCCATGTGTCACTGCTTATCTGTGTCTGCTACAGTCAGTTTTTATGTCTGACTTACAGTGTTTTGTATCATGTGTGTTATTTCCTAAAAGTCTAACAAGGACTGCAAATTAGCCGTGGCCAGAAGTCCAATATACATTGCATCTGCTGCACTTTAGTGAGATGTTACAGTGCCGACAAAAACAGATAAAAAATCAGACATTTAAGACACTGACTGTTTTCAAGGGAAATGGTTTGTTTCCAAAAGAATCAGTTCTTTTTAAGCTTGTGTTTTTTCGAAAAGGTTAGCAAGACAGACAACAGATGTGCTAAATTGAACATTTAGGATTATGCTATGGGAGCAGCTGATCAAAGACTTCCTGTGCTTCCTCTTCTGTGCTTAGTGGATCATGGTTCAGCATGTGGTTTATCATGTGGCTCTTCTATTTGAGTATTTCTGGCTGTGGTTGCACGCTCTGAAACAGTCCATAAGTGAAGGAAGCCACTGTTGAAATAAGAAGGATTAACAATCATGAGTGGGAGGCAGCGAAGGAGACAGGACCAACAAGCATTTCCTACCTCCCACTCAAGCTTGTAACAATGCTGGCAAACCATCACAGACTAATTACTTTATAAGCACCATGAATGGCATTGATGATGAAGTGACGCCCCTTGATGTGTGCGCTCATTAGCTCTTGTTCTTTTCCCGGTGTATCTCTCACCCTCCTTTGTCTTGTCCCTGTAGCTCACATCAATGCGTTCACATCAAAAGTAGCTCTGCTGAGAAAGCTGCCTGACGCCTGGAAACAGAACATCTCGTGTGGGTTCAAGTGAGTGTCATTGCTACAGATGTGTGCAGATGATTAGGATTTAGGTGAATCACCCCTCTCTGATTAAATTACAGGAAATGTTTTCGTTTGGGAGCCAGTCAGAATGTTATAAATAATCCAACCTATTGGTCTTCTGTAGCCGTCAATGAATGGTTTTGTCATCTGAAATGGTGTTGAGATTTTACATTTCTGCCCAAGTAGGGAAGCTTTGACGTGGTGATTTCTCTTTTCAATCCACAGGCCTTCCAAGTCACTCAATATCCTGCACCACCTCCTGAAAAAACTAACTGGGTAAGCTCTTCATGACATACAGCATCTTTCTGTAGATCATTTTTTCTAAGCCCCCAACAATCATTTTGTAAATATACATTATCTTTAAAGACCGTTAGGTAAAAGTCTGGCTTTGAATATTTTGACCTAATTTCCAAGCTTTCAAGGGGGGTTGTTCTGGCAGGCCGTCAACCAGCGAATAACTAATGTTATTGATTTAATGTACAGTCCCATATTCTAAAAGGGTTTGGTCTTAGTTGTGTAACATCTGCAGATGAGTTGGCAGTACGATGATGAAATGATTGCACAGTCAGGTCTGACAGACATCCTCAAGCTAAAAATGTGACGTTAGTCTACTCTCATGTTTGTGTTGGAGAATTACTCAATGCATTGCTTAACAACACACAATACACGTGTCACCTTTTGCGTCCTTAGTGATCTGTTCATCTACCTTCACCTACGAAGAATCCCTGAGTGCTACAACATGTTTCATTGGGTGGAGTTTGACGTTAACACACCATCAATGTCTTGATTTGTGTTGTTTTTTTCTTTGTAGGCTCGAAGAAGGACATTACCTGATTACACACGAGGCTGGTAAACCCTTTGTTACCTTCTTAAAAGAAGCTAAGGGAAAAGTGAGTCGGGGGTCTTACAACCTGCAGCAGGCCCACAGCACTGTCCCGAAGCACCCAGCCTCTGACCTTGTACCCTGGATACCTGTTGATCCAGCAGTGGTGCTTCCCTTTCATCTGAAGCATGGCCGTGCCCCCTGCACCTTTCCTATAACCCCCATGTTGAAGGTTTGTACCATATGAAACTGTAAAAAAAATGAACAGCAATGGTCATGGCAGGGAAAAATGAGTTATTAAAAAGTGTTTATTGGTTAAAGTGTAGGAAGTCCACACCTTTTATTAGACATGTGTACACACACACACACACACACACAGGGATTCTCCAAAAGCCAAGATCACAGTCTCCCACTAAGTTGTGGTAAGTGCAAAGCCCTCTGCCGTTCTCATAACTGACAGGCTGAACCAGCAAACCACTGCATAGTTTGAATGCACAAGCCCAAAACCAACAACAGGGACAAAAGAGAGCAGAGCAATATCAACAGCAGCTCAGCAGGTTTGAATGGAGTTCACACTGCAAGATTCATCGGATGCCTGTCTGACATTCTTCATAGCAAAGACATCAACACATGTTTTGACTCTTCAAACAGTAAATGAAACAAGTTTTCAACTGGGCATTTCTGTTGTAAACCCTTACCTTTGACCTTTTGACTTTTTAGAATATACATAACCTTGTGTCATGCTTTGTAGAATTTAGCCCAAGTTACTTAAAGATATTGAAATGTCGACCTTCCTTTTCTCCTTCCAGACAAAGTATAGCCATGGAGCTGGACAGGCGAACAACAACCAGAAAACAGGAGGTAAAAAGAAGAAGAAACGAGCAGCGAAACGTAAGAAATATATTAAAAGGCTAATTGAGAAGTCCATTTGAGAGGATTTAATGTCCATATCATTTCACATCATGTTAGGTCAGTCAGAGGAGGAGCTGGACCTGTACTAGAAAGAAAGTTAATGACTGTCTGTGATTTCAATCTGGAAAAACACTGTGACCTTAACTGTGAATGCTAAAGCACTTTCAATGTTCAGAATCTTTGTATTTTTTGTGGGAAAATAAGTTTTTGTTTTTTTAAGGTTTGTAAAAACTGAGACAATAAACTCTTTCCAAGTTCTCATGTTTGAGTGTAATTATTGCTCAATAAGTGAATGTGTTTTTTCTTGCCTGGACTGTATTCAGGTAGGATTAGACATCACCTTCAAAATTCCCCCTGACTGAACAGAGCTGTGTGTAAACTTTGAACAAAGCTTGAGGAGTGCACGCCTCCAGTGGCTTCTTGTGGAACAGGGTGGAGTCACATGGGCTTGAATAGGGGAAGTGTTTTCCTGTGTCTGAAAAGTTAAACCCAACACACTTCCATTCCGCTTACACACTACCCGGGCAAATCTGCATCATCCGAACTTTTACAGCCAAGGTAAGTTCAGTCTAACTATGTAGGATCATGCAAAACAAACTAGCTGAAAGTGTTATTGAGTGAGCTTTATACTTCTGGAAGGTTGAAGGGGATTTTTTAACATACAGCTATGAGTCATGACAAGTATTTTCCACACAGTGTTCATTCAATCTGTGTACAGATGTGTTTTCTTGAGTTTAGTTTAAGTGAAAAATCAACTCCTGCTCTCCAGCCTGAGCTCTCACCAGTTTCCTTGTGTTTTTATACATATGTACTCAGTTATCATACCAGAAGGGAGCACAGGAGCAATTTTTCAGGGTGTGTCTCCTTTGGGTTCTTTTAAGGATGTCTTCACAGGCTGAATGAGGATTTGAAAGAGTGGGTGAATTGTCAGAAGTATCCAACCGTTGTTATAGAAATGTCTTTGAATGTGATTTGACAAAGCAGAGACACAGAAGAAGAAACGAAGTTCAGTCTCTTAAGATGACTCAGTATTTCCATAATCAACAACTTCAATGAATGAAGTTCTTCTACATTTATTTAAATTAAGAAGATTTTCCTCAGTGGTTTTAAGTGATTGTATCTTAAGACAAAACAAACATGACCTCTATCTAAAGGTGTGCATGGTAAAGAAGAGTCAGTGATAGGATTACACTGATTTCATTACAAGACGTTATGATGCTCAATCTATCTTTATTTGTATAGTGCTTTTTTTTTAAACGTCATCTCAAGACACTTTAAAAAAAGAACAGGTCTAGACTGTACTGTTTTCACTTTTTGCAGGAAAGTCAAAATGGCTTTGGTATCAGAGTTTCTGGGACAGATGTGTCTGAACATTGGGGTAAGTTTTTTATTGTTTTTCTTTTATGATGTAATTCCTATTCAGTGCATACCAGATATGATACATTCTGTTTATTTTAAGATGGTATAATATGTTATAATTCCTCTGAAACCACAGGCCCATGAACCCAAACACCCCACCGTGGTGCCTGCTGTTGACTTTAACCCAGTCAAAGATGCTGCCAGAATAGAGACGGCGATCAAAACCAAAGGTACGATACGGAGTTAGTACATGTTGCTCAGAAAAAGAAAAAGAAAAGTCTGTGCTTGCTTTTGTAGCTTCTCCGTTCAGATGAGTAGCTGGTATTTTTGAGTCAGCGTCCGTGGCTTAAAATGCTTTGACCATACTGGGAACACCTCCAAGTCTGCGCCTCAGTGCTGGCAGAGTTCTGGTCTGTTTTGGCCGACTGACTGAGAGGGATTGGCAAAGGACAGGCGGCGAACTCTTTAAACTTCTTTTTCAGACTATTAAAAAGCATAATCCTCACCTGTTAAAAGTTTTGCCCCACCGTGCAAAGTCGGAGCTACAATGCCTCAAACTTTTTCCCCCATCAAAGTCAATTTATGAACCAGCCAGCCCAGTACACTCTTAAAATGTCACGAGGATCCAAAGCTTTAAGTTCTTAAGAGATAAATTTGAGTCCTACTTTTTAAATCTTGCGTTAATATGCATACAATAACTCAGCTAGAAACACTCTTGAATCAGTTTGGCTCTCCAAAACCACAACACAACACATTAATAAAAGTCTTTACTCCTAAATCCTCTTCACTCAGTTAATTCAGAAGCCAGAGGCTGCTGTAAAGCACTTGGATATACATATGTATGTCCAAAATATATCTCTATTATGAATAATGTATTGAGTAGTTGTCATTTTGTCTCACCTGCTTACCGTCTGTGTTTATTTTTTTCATTCTGACATTAGGAGTGGATGAGCAGACCATCATTGACGTCCTCACAAAGCGGACCTACTCACAAAGGAGAGAAATTGCTTTTGCATATGAACGGAGTTCAAAGAAGGTACATTCAACCTTAAAAGAAAACACAATTCTCCACAGCTCTAATTATATGATGTCTTTAACAATAAGGTGCTTATGCAGTACATCCATGTAATTCTGGTATATTTGTAGAACATGATCACAGCCCTGAAGGGGGCGCTGTCTGGCTCTCTGGAAACAGTGATCCTTGGACTGATGAAGAGCACGACTCAGTTTGATGCCTCAGAGATCCGAGGATCTATCAAGGTAAACCACGCTGAATGTATCTGTGGCGCTCATCATGTGTGGATTTCCACTGAAGGGTTACACTGCCCTCTACTGGAGAATGCACTTATTGTTGCACCACTATTATAATCTTCATTGTTTGTATAATGTATACAAGTACCATGATGGAGAAGTGACGGAGTTGTGTCTCTTTAGGGCTTAGGAACTGATGAAGAAACCCTGATTGAGATTCTGTGCTCACGCAGCAATGATGAGCTGGTGGAGATCAAGAAAGAGTACAGTCAGTGTAAGTACAGAAACATCCAGTCGTACATTTCTATGATATAATATATTATACCTCAGCCATAGCTTGTTGTGCTGTCTGTTTTTATCCTGCACTATAAGGCTTGTGTGTAACCTAGGCTCTCTGCATCCATCAACTGTCTGAAGTTAAATGCTCTTCAACAACTCTGTGATGACTCTGGTGTTGTGCAATGCTATGATGCTATGTTGCCATGATTCACTTGTTTGTTCTTACACATCATTTTGTAACTCGTCTGTGTTTTTATCTTGTAATATTTTAATCTGCCTTGTTTCGTTTTGTTTTATTCTATGCACATTCTGTAAAGCACTTTGTAAACTTGTTTAGAGAAGTGCTATATAAATAAAGTTATTATTTCTATTGTTGAGGGGGCTAATTATTGATTGTTGATTTCCCACAGTGTTCGGGAAGGAACTGGAGAAAGATGTGTCGGGTGACACCTCTGGACATTTCGCTAAGCTGCTCCTGGCTCTGGTGCAGGTGAAGTTTGTAGTACCAGAATGTGATCATATGAACACTATAAACATCAGAGCTGGATCTGTCATGAGTCAACTCTTATTTCTTTGCAGACCAAAAGAGCCGCACCAACCTCTGTGGTAGACTACGAAAAAATTGATGAAGACGCCAGAGTAAGTTTTACAATTGTATCTTTGTTGCTGAAACACAACATGACTCCCCTTTAAGAGAATCTATCTTTTAAATCAATATACAATGTTTCTTTAACTTAAAGGATACCAATGATGAATGTGGTCAATTGTTCTTAACCGAGAAAAGATCAATGTGAAACAAATAAGAACTATTTACGTTAGAGGTTTGGTACTTAGATGATGAAATGTCTGTTGTTTGCTCATGTGATTTAACCCAAAAACATGCTAATTTAATTTATTTCAATTTACCAAACAGCCCATCCCTTCTAATTCTACCTTATCAGTTTAAAAACAAAAGGGTGCAAAAGAGATAAATGTACAAAATAAAATGGAGTGTAAACTGTGCATCTCCTTAATTTCTAACCTATTGAAAGTAGTTATTACATTAATACAACAAATTAAAATAGTAAAAATCAATGCAGAATTATCAATCAGGCTTTACTCATTGTGTTATATAAAGAACCTGAGTTTCCACTAACTTGAAGAGAATCAGAAAGTGACGGGAAATTCTGTTCAAATTTGGTACATTTTACTGCAGACTTTGATGATAGTACTGTCCTTAGAATCCTTAATATTTCAAATAAATAACACAACTCTTTAACAAAGTAGTCGTAGTGTTTATTCCTGTTCTGTTAAATCAACTCAGGCACTGTATGACGCTGGAGTAAAGATTAAAGGGACTGATGTGGCAACCTGGATCTCCATCATGTCTGAGAGGAGCGTATCCCACCTGAAAAAAGGTGAGTTGACCTGTTTTCTCTTCTAGATTGTTACTCTGCTTCATTTATCAAACGCGTCCGTCACTAACTGGTCAGTATTTGTTCTCTCTGCCTGTTAGTGTTTGAGAGGTACAAGAGTTACAGCCCGTACGACATGCAGGAAAGCATCGTGAAGGAAGTTAAAGGAGACTTACAAAACTCCTTCCTGGCATTAGGTACATTTATCTTTAATAATTTATAATATAATTATTTACATAATTACACCATGTATCTGTTATACAAACAAAACTATTTAAGTTGTAAGTCTGTTTGTGTTTTATGAATCACTTTAAAAATACAACAAATCATGAATATTTTTTGTGTTTTTGTGGATATTTATTTGATCTCTCTTATGTTCCAGTTCAATGCTTTGAAAACAAACAGCTGTATTTTGCCAACAGACTGAGTCATGCCATGAAGGTAGTAACACGTCTGTTGTTTCTTCTTGTTGAAATGTGGCTTTTCTGAGGGCCAGACTGCGTAGCTAGACTTATTTGAACAGATGTAAGAAGCCTGTGAAAGGGATTTTTTTTTTGCTGCAGGAACACAGAATCTTAAGTTTTGCAAAAGTTGACTAAGCTGATGTAACACCGTTGTAAGACAAGTTCAGAGCATGCACCACTGAAGTTAGTGCTGACTTGTGCTCGTCTGCTCAGGGTAAAGGAGCCAAAGACAAGATATTGACCAGAATCATCGTGTCACGCTGTGAGGTGGACCTGAAGAAAATCTGCTCTGATTACAAAACCACCTTTGGACAGTCCCTGCAAAAGGCTATAATGGTAAGTGAATAATTAATGCTTGACTCTCTTGTATTACTGATTCTTTTTTTCTATCACACAAACCCTCTGACCTGCTTTCTTTCTTTCTTTCTTCTTTCTTTCTTCTTTCTTTCTGCAGGAACACACCAAGGGGGACTACCAGAAGGTTCTGCTTGGCCTGTGTGGACCAGACGAGTAAAGTTGAACCATGAGAGTCAAAGGAGAGGTGGGCTATCAGGAATATCACAGTTGAAAACAAAAACAGACATTCCAACTTTTTTAAAAACACAACTGACTGCGACATTCAGTGAGATTGATTGATCTTTGTCAGACATGAAGACTCTGAATGAATCCTACCTTTGTTACACAAAAACAGAAATAAAGTGGCGCTGCTTCAGTGTTGTTCCTTAATTTCTCTCTATGTCCCCACCAGTATGTCTTTACCTGATGTTTATGTAGATGGCCATTAGAGGGCGTTATAGTCACATTTAAAGCAACAGCAAACAGCTCAGACTCAACTGTCTCAGGATGTTGATATCTGACACTATCTGCACAAATCTTACCTTTTTTTTTCTCGCAATCAAATATTTACTCTCAAATGACATATTTGAATTTGATTATGAGCTTTTTCCTTTTCATGATACTTTGAACAGAAATAATAAAATATGTGAAAATGTCTATGCAAACAAAGTGTGTTTTATTTGCATTAGGGATGCAAACTGTACTGATTTGCTCTAATTAAATACAAAACTTGAACTTGAAATGAATGAGTACATTTATATTGAAAACTGCAGCTGCAATGTTCGCAAAATTGAATATTTGCATCTTTATTAAAATACAGATATTTATGATCCATTCAGAATGTTCTCATACAAACTATAATAAGAAATCATCCTATTTTTCCCCCCACTATGAGGTTCCGTCAAGATGATTTAATCATAAGTGTGTTTTTCTGTGTTTGTTTGGTGCTAATATTTTAATTAAAAATGTTAATTTTACCTCTGGCAAAGTTGATTTGCATACCACTAAACAAGCGTCTATACAGTGTGTTTCTGCTGTTTAGTTTGTGGTCTCTCAGGATGAAATAACCACCACAGTGTTGTCAAGGCATTTCTACTGAAGTATAAGAAAAAAAAAAAAATGGCCCCAAAAGACGAGATCGGTTCTGCTGATCACAGCGATGAGGAAAAGGATGTGAGGGGGAAGCGCACAGATTTAATAATCTAATGAAAATAAAGCGCTGTACTGTGGCTCAAATACGAAGATCATCTATTATTGAGAAGAGTTGCCTGATAAAATAATGCTTCTGTCTAATGTTTTAACTGGTTGAGTAGCTAAGGAGAGGAATGGCTTCACTTTTTAACAAGGCATCAGATTTATGATCATTTTATAATAATATTGATGAGAACATTAGCCCTTTGTGATGGTTTATGTTTATAGGCAATAAAAAAAAAATATAGCGTAAAGTAAGGTAAAACAGTATTTTGCAAAGCCGGGAGGGAGATTTATGTGTGAATATGGGGACAGATTAATCTCTGCATCATAAAGATGAGAGTATCACCATATTTTTCCCTTTTTTTATATGGATGTACAACATGCTGTTCTGTTCAAGGCCGGCCCGTGGGGACCTCCAGAAAACCCAAGGGGAACTCTCTTCTCAATTGAAACGATGCAATTTACTGTCCCAAACACTGGCACTTCATCATTCAGAGGACTTTAACCCCATGAATGTCAAACACAGAGCATGCTGGGAAGGAGATGGAATACCTCGCATTACCATAACAACTAGATCCAAATGACAGCCACTCAGGAGCCTAAAAGGTGAAGAATTATACCTCGTAATCACCTAATAACGTTTGAACTTGAGAAGAGATTTCGAGATGACTTTCTGTTTACCAGTGACCACTCCCAGCTGTCAGGATGGTGCATCATGGTGGTTTTTAGCCTCGCAGGTCGGACTGATTCTTCCTCTAATACTTGTCCCAGTTACATTGAACATGTGGAAATGCTCCCCCACTTCACCTCAGAGACGAAGCCCAGGCAGCGCTGCAGGCACCCAGCAGCATTAAAGTTTCACAGTACAGCTGTGTAGCTGCTGCTGCCCCGCCAGACATAGCAAGCGCACATTGGGAAGGTATTAGTTTGTTGCTTTTTATTAATTTATCGCATTGAACACAACTCGCAACTTTCGAGAACCGACAGCTTCTTTCTCCTCGTCTCCCCCCCCCCCCCCCCCCCACTTCGACACATCTGAACCCAGCCCAGGATGTCTCTGCAGAGCACCAAAGGGTGTTTAATTATAGAGCAGTGGGCCACCAAGGTCTCCTTTTAATTGTGTGCATCTGTGTGTGTTTGTGTGTGTGTGTGTGTGTGTGTATGCCTCCAGCTCTATAGGTCGCAGGCATACTCTTAAATGAGAACTCCTACAGGCTAAGCTGGAGGAGCCGCTCCCTCAACTACAGAGCTCAGAGAGTCACAGTTTGATTAATATTTTCTTAATTATCACTATTTAATTCAGCTGAAGCACAGCATCTTCAGTGAAAGCGTGGCCTTTGTCTCTGTGATGCTGGATCTCCTGGCTCGTTAGGGGCACAGAGAGATCCTGTATATGGTAAATAAGAGGGGTATTTTTTATTTTTTTGTCTTGTGCTACTGCCCCAGGGAGAGCTGGCACCACACTGAAGGACATCGCTTTCTGAGGAATAGCGCTCTGCTGATGTTTCTCCGCTCAGACCGCAGAAGCCGGATCCTCCGCCTCTGGCGTCGTCAGGCCTGCTTCCTTTTGTGAGACTCAAAACTGAGACAGCAGCAAAGGCAGAGGAGCGGCGTGCACTCGTCATGCCATCGGGCTGCCTCCTTTGTACAGCACACTGGTAATTGAAACAACATAAGAGAGCAGAAGAAGGCCTGTCTCCTCCTCTTGGGTTCTGGCTGCAGTCAGTCCATCTGCAGACACACACAAAAAAAGACACATAGAGAGAAGTTTCTAAAAGAGCTTTGTGTACATGCAACACAGTTTATTTCTTTGAAGAGTTTAGCTTCTGTCAGCTCCAGATTCCAAAAAACATTCTGGAGAAGGTTCTACTTACTGCGCACTACGAGTGTCCTGCTGTAATTCAGCCTTCTTATTACGATGATCACACATCAGATGAAGGATTCTTTGACTGTGAATCAATCATGTCTGATAGGAGTCACAATCCAGTTTGTTAAAAAAAGCCTGGAGACAGGAGCAGACTTCTCGATCATATCAGCAGTATTTGGTGCTCAGGGCTGGACTGAATGCTGACTTTTCTCTTTGCTTGAAGCTTCCCTTTTTCCTTTCCACGCGCTGAGTGAATGAGAATACCCTGTGGCTTGTTAACCTACACGCTTGTCTTTCGGAATCCTCTGTCTCCGCTTCCTTCACTTTTGTCCACAGAGACACATCTCATCCCCTTGTGCCTGCTCGCCAAGACTGTTTTGATCCACCTGGTTTGATCAAACATCCGACACAGATAACGGGAGCACTTGGTTTTTTATATAACACAAGCTGCATTACTTTATGCAAGCTGTGTGTGTGTGTACAGGTTAATCTTTCAACGGGCCTCCAGCCAGATGCACTAATGATAATTTTCTGAGAAGAGGTTGTAATATGTCTGGCCCCGGCGTCAGCAGCCTCCTTTTGTTGTTTGCACATGCTGCTGGATCAGTTTTTTGTGTGTGTGTACTTTGCAGCGATAGAACTGCAAAGGATGAGGACAGTCTATATCAGCGTGGCATATTAATGTTTATTTACACCATGCCTAATAAGATGTGTGCTCTGCAACAAGGTGAGGCAGAATGATGGCGGGTAATTAAACTGCTTTGCTTTAGATTCATCCATTATCCATACTCAGGCCTGCATACATAATGTAATAATGTAAAATAAGGCTTGTTGCTGCAGCCGATGAGGTGACCATTCGGGGCTGTTTCGTCCCCTGTAAATCAATACCGCGTGTGTCACAGCAGACAAAATGGGTAGAGATCTGTGTGATAAATTCCGGGATTGTCAAAATATGTGTTCAGAAGTGAGGGAGATATGACCCTTTACATAAGGAACACAAGCACACTCAATTTGTGCTCCAGTGTTTTGCTTCCACCCTCTAACCTGTTGGGAGGTTTCTGAAATGCATGAGTTGGTCTCTATTCCATATTGTCATGATGCTTAATCCCACCTCGTGAAGGCAGAGACTGGCCACTGGACCCTATGCATGCACACACCCACACACACACACACACACACACACACACAGCCTCACCTTCATGCAAGAGATTGAAATCAGCTACGCAGACACTCAAGCATGAACCAAATGTCAGCGACAAGCCACAGGGAGAGAAGAGGAGCTTGTGTTAATTATTACAGAGAGAAATCATACTATTCCACCTGCGAGACGAGCTGCCCAGGATATCTGTGGATCAGGAAGTCATTTTCTTTTTTTCCCCCTCCTGGGATAAAACAAGAGGGGACACAATTCCAATGAGTAGGTCTTTAAAAGCAGTGATTAACTTTGTGATGGGCGTGCAGCTGTGCTGTGTGTACTTCTCTAAAGGGAATTATAACAATATAATAAAGGAAGGGCAGGAAATCCAATGAAAGAGAAGCAAGTTGGGAGAAAAAAACTGCAGAGTTCTTTTGTTCTTTCAAATGTCACAGAATTACAGACCTTGTTTGAAGCCCGACGGCGAAGCTCTGCCTCCTCTGACAGCAGAAATGCAAAGTTTTGGAAAGGTGTCTACAAATTTCTTCCCTGTGCAACGCTACTCTCTCATTTGATTTTGAACGTGCAGTGGGGGGGGGGGAGGGGGGCTTCTTTTTCTTCTGACAACACGTTTCCCATGTGACACTTAACCTTTGGAGATTTCCCGTTCTCTCAGATCATTCACTGTTTGGCTCATGTTAATTAACCCTGGGGCACACTGGAGAGATGTTAGGCTTTGAAGCGGAGGTAGAAGGAAAAAGAAAAATAAGGAAGAAGTGAAATGATTTGGTTGTTTTCTGTTTCCTTTCTTCTTTTTTTTAGGGTGATTCATTCCCCTCTCCATGCGAGAGAGTCTTGGTGGTGCCAGTGAGGATGGTGAGTGGCGTGGGTGTTGGAAAGGATGAGATATGGTTTGTGTCGCTGTCAGCGCTCGTCTCTCCTCTCTCTGTGAGGAACTTGGCCGGAGCAGCCTGACCTCCCTCAGGTGGCCATGGATATGGTAATCAGTTCAAAAATAGAACACAAGATGTGTTTTCATCGCCTTCAGCTCCCCCAAAAAGAAAGACGGATTTTTGTCTGTTTCTTTTCATTCTTTTTAGCTCCTGGCAGAAATGGTCTTTTCTGCACTTGTTTGAAATACACAAAGCACGTTTCTTGGTGAAAAGTGCCACTGGTGGCAGGCAGAGCAATATTGCCTGAGCCCAAAGAAAGTGCTGTGCATGAGGAAATCATCCTGTTAACCGTTTCACTGCTTGTATATCGTCTCTTTGGAGTAAAGAGTGTGATCAAACAGCAGTCTAACCTCTGGCCTTCATCGCTCTTGTCATCCTCAACTGTAGGTACAGCTATAAATACACTCTCTGCCTTACACCAGTGACAAGGTACAAGTATTCTGCCATTTTGAACTTCTAAGGGCTCTTCTCTCTCTTTTTTTTTTTTCTTCTTAAAGCAGAAATGGGT